GTTCTGTTTTCCATACATTTTCCCATACCAATTTTAAAGCTCGCCCGCAATTCCAGTTCGTAACCGAATTCATTCAAATTTGTCACAGTTAGTGGGAATCCCAATACGAACCGAAAAAGCTGTGGGGTGCCGGGGGTTGTGATCCGCTATATAAAGTTGATCTACCCTAATATACACTCAATTCTGTTTTTATGCGATTTTAATTTTTCGATTTTGCCCTCATGCAGGATGGAGACAGAATTTTTAATAAAACCTGATTTTTCTTTGATTTTTAGTGATGTTGAAACAAGTTACATTAAATTTGGTTGAAAATTGAGGTCATAGGATCAAAAATAGAGGCGAAATAAAAAATGCGTAAAAACAGAATTGAGTATATTTTCAGGGTGTCGACTACCTGGAAAAAACCTGGAAAGTCAGGGAATGTCAGGGAATTCTATTTATGATCTGGAAAGTCAGGGAATGTCAGGGAATTTTGGTGTAGGTCAGGGAAAAAATTATGTTGATCACATTGCAAAAAATCATGTGTGGGACACATAAAAACAATCTTTGAAATGTTATCAGTGCATGACGTCAAAGTTTTTGGGAAGATCCCGGGCATCAGATCTACTCGCTGCGTTTATGGACGCCCTTACCGGTATCTCTTCGAACAAGTTGCTGCAAGTGTCCATGGATGGGCCCAATGTGAATTGAAGCTAGAGGTACAAAAAGGTGGCGAGAAGCTGATAGATCTGGGACGCTTTGGGCTGTATATTTTGCATAATGCATTCAAGGATAGTGTTCGCAGTATCAGTTGGGATGTTGTCAAATATTTGCGTGGTATCTACAATATCTTCACAGATGTACCAGCAAGAGCGTTTATCACGATGTATTCTGGATCTACCATATTCCCGTTAAAGTTTTGCGGTCACCAATGGTTGGAAAATAGTGCTACTGTTCAGAGGGCAATCAAAATTACTCCGCAAATACGAAAATTTATTCAAGGCGTTCAGAAAGACAAAATCGAACCAACGTTAGCTTCCTACCAAGATGTTAAAAACTGTTTGAATGACTCGCTGCTGATGGCTAATAGTACGTTCAGACTACAGATTTATAACATGTTATAGCACTATCTTGATGGTGTTTTTTGTGTTGCAATTATTTGACAACCGTTATAACATGTTATAACTCTGTAGTCTGAACGTGGTGTGGTATTAAGCTAGCTTTCTTCAAATAAGTTGCTGTCGAAGTTGAGCCATTTCTATGCGAATTTCATACGGACAACCCTATGGTGCCTTTTTTGTACAACGCCATGTCTCAAATGGTTAAAGGCATTATGGAAAGGTTCATTAATATAGATCATCTGAAAAATATTGCACAGGTAAATGCACATTCGATCAATATGATCGCAAAAAAGGAACGACTGGACATTTTTTGGCACATGTTATTGGTCGGCGTATTCAGAACTATTGTTGGTTGTGAAAATGATTTGCTGCTTATCGCATGGCAACACCAATGCAGAGAGAGGTTTTTCGGTAAATGCAGAATATATTTTTGAAAACATGAGGGAAGAGTCAAGGTCCAAGCGCAATGGCAGCGGAACGGCAGTGGTAGCGGAAAGCCCGATCTGAGTAGCCTATTCGTCGGATTGAAAACTAGTTAGAATCAAATCGACTGCAGTTAGGCATCTTGATGTCATTTGTGATAATTGTCAAACTTGCCGTTTCCGTTCCGCTTCCGCCCACATTGCGTTTGGGCCTTCAGTCGTAGCGCGACGTCAGATCTCATGCAGGCGGGTTGTAAAACTTACAAATTTTGAATGAACTTATTCAGCGAGTTCGAAAAATCGCATCCGCTTTCCATGTAGACAAGGATCGTCGTATAAAAGAAGCTCTCAATTCCGAGAGCTCAAGATACTCAAAAAGAAGCCGAGAGTTTGCAGGAGAAAATTTCTCTGTTCAAATGATAAACATTTTTAAAAGTAATCCGAAAATAAACACATATTCAACTTGCAATTTCTCGTTGTAATGTGAACTCACTGAGAGAATAAAATGTTAATGATAATTAAACTTAAATTATTTTGCCATGTCTGCGGTTGTCATATGGAGTTCCAGAGAGTACGAAACTGACTAATGCATGAGCGTGCATCCTCAGGTTCGGTTGCCAAAGCAAGAATAATCACTGCTCTGCTATTTTACAATAATTTATATGTTAAGAGAAAGGATCGTCTACGGGTTGAATTTTATTTGGCTGTGAAATTATGAACACAAATTGAGAGCTTGGCGATATTGATTAAATATTCCTATTATTACTTAGTAATGAATAGTGAGCCTAGTTGTGAGCAGTAGTTATTCATTATTATATTATAGTACGTATTTATAGCCCTAGGCCTATTCACATCCTTCGTAGGTAGTCGGTCATATCAGGCATAACATTTTATAACGGAACAAAAGCATATGTAAACAAACATTCTAAGGCCCTATACACGCGAACCAAAGCACGCCCACGCAAACCAACAACATCATCGGATAGGGGCAACTATCACCTTTCCGAAAGTGGTATTGGTTTTTTTCGATTCAGTATTTTCGAAAGCTTACCCTGCTGCTCATTTTAAACAAACCTTAATTTATACTACGGTATAATAAAGCACATCACGTTGTAGCTTCTTAGGTTAAAATAACGAAGTTTTGATGGCTGGAATTTTTTCTGAAAACCGACTGGAAAGTCAGGGAAAGTCAGGGAATTTTATTTTCGACTTTGAGTCGACACCCTGATTTTCTAATTATCAAATCCATAAAAAAACAGTTTTGGCTTAAAACCAAGAGTATTTTAATTGTTTTTAAATTTGTAGTTCCACATTTTTTTTTTATTTCTTTTTTAATGTGATTTTTAGCTACTTAGTGGTTTGTTCATCGCCAAGTAGTTTCGCAGGTCCATTCTCAAAAAAAAATATTGGCGAGAATAATGAGCACACGGAATACTGACGGATGGTAGATTAACAAACATCCCAAATAACATTGCAAGTTTTATCAAGATTTTAAAGTGATTCCTTGTAGAGTTCACAAGCACTGTCACTTCGAATATTCAATTATACAAATCTAGGAAATAAGTGCCCCATTTCCGAAATTAGTGCAGCAACCGTGGAGTAACAGTTTCATTGTGATACGTGATGTGGAAGCTAATATTTGTGCACTTAAAGTTTCTAACTGGTTACGAGAATAAGGATCTCATAGCGATACAACTTAAAGTATTCTTCAAGTCTAAATCATGGTCTACAGAACCCTCATAAAATCATAATGGTTTAGTGAGATAAAACGGTTCAACAAGTTGTGGACCACCTATGCTACCATGGGAAGGAGAGGGTTAAAGTGTCGACAGCTTTATTTTTGACATATTCTGGAGTATTTTTTCCTAACTCAACGCGGGCCGTACATTGAGCAGGTCTGAGTGTAGGCACTCACCAAAGACCTGTGTGTATTTTATACGATTACATTAATGTTCAGTTTTTGTCAACGACAAGGTAATCAAAACAGTTTTCCAGGTCAGCAATTTTTCTAAACTCTTCTATAGCACCACACTGAAATTAACTCTACATTTTTGTTTGTTTTCAAAATGATGTACCTATCTCGTATTATATTTATCCATTTTCTAATGTGTTTACACCGTTGAAACTTAAGCAGAATTATCAACCATGCGTCTCCTTCAAAATTCACCATTAAATTATATGTAATTCAATTCTGGGATCTTTCTTCTCATGAAAATTGTTTTCAAATGTGTCTATGGCTTTATAAGCGTAAATGTTTAGAATAGCTGTAGAAAAATACCCAAAAAATCTCGTTCACCCAAACACCGTTCTACTGTAACCGTTAACTATCTAAATGTGCCCGTCTGTCGAAACAATCCACTTGCCAACAAATCCTTTCTCTCAATCCCCTCTGGTCTCCCTAAATTCCAATCAATTGGCGAATGAAACACAAGGTATGTATTTCCTTGAATCAGGCCTGTAATGCAAATCCAAACCATAACCAAAAAATCTGTTTGTCGTGTGATTTCCGTTTTTCTTTTATTATTTCGTTGCGTGTGTACCTACTGGTCCTCTTTTATGTTTGTCTTTTATGTTTCTTTTCCAACTACGATCTCTGACTGTTTCTCAAGCATCGTCACAGGGATACAATCGTGAACATCTCAGTTGTTTCGTTTTTGTTTTGTTTTGCATGTAAATTTTTCGAAACAATAATTTGCATCGATTTTCCTCAATGGAATTGTTTTGTGCGTGTGAAAAATGCTCGTTCATTATACAATATCAATTCCCTGCTTCCAGTAGTGAAAAAACTAAAATTAGTTCTCAGACATTTTACACCGCGAAAAAATAGCAAATCAGCGAAGTTGTTAATAAACAGATCGAACCCAAAGTGATCTAAAAAAAAATGCGCGCGAATAAAACCGGCCATTTCCTAGTCCTAGGTTCCGGCATTCGAGTGACAATGCGAATGCACCTAGCAATCATCAAACCAAACTCCCTCCCATTGTTCATTTTTTTAGCCGACGAACATTTGGCGGAACTGATGCCAATCTTCGAGCAGCTGCGTGCTCAAGGTAACTTGCCCTGTACATATCCGCTACATGTGGCTTCTAGTGGGACCGCTTTTATGCGTGGTGGATCTCGCTCCACTCCACTCAGTCCACATGCCCCACACTGCCATCCGTCGACACATTGGGTAAGTTGTTGTTGATGTTGGAATTCCTTATTGTCCCTGTATTAGGTTTTCGTTGGTTTTTCGTTGGTCCTATCGAATGCGATGTTTTTCTCGGTTCGATGTTTTGTTGTTGTTGGACTCGCTGAATGTGATCTAATTGAGGCCTTTCTTGTATGCAATTTCGGTTTGAGTCTTGGTGCTATAAACGAGTCGATACACAATCCCACGGACGGACGTTGCTATAAAACAGCTGTTGTAGGAAAGGGGAAACATAGAACGTAGCATAATGTTGAATTTTCATTTTTCCCATTCAATAAATGCAAACAGGTACGAGAACGTTCGTCGAAATCGATTTCGATGTCGCGACCGTCTCGATCGTCACTGTCGGCCTCCACACCGGATTCGCTTAGTGATAACGAAAGTAGCTTAGGAACTCCAGGACGTTTCCAGACGCCCAGCCGTAAAACTTCAGTGCCAATCAAGTATGAAGCTCGTCAAAGTTCTTTCCATAGCATCGTGCTAACGATTGTCTACAACTCCTTGCAGATCTCAGATGACCCCCGGTGGATCGAGAGCAAACTCGAGACCTAGCTCCCGGCCGGCAAGCCGTGCCGGATCGAAACCACCGTCCCGTCACGGATCGACACTGTCGTTGGATAGCACCGACGATGCCACCCCGTCAAGAATCCCAACCCGGCGGCTAACCAGTACAACGACTACTCCCAGGCCATCGCGACTGTCGGTAGGTTCGACAACAAGTGGCACCACTCGAATCGCATCAACCACGAATGGCGTCTCATCGAGGACGGCATCGGGTGCCGCTTCGCCTGCCCCCACAAGGTAAGCCTGAGCTATTGCTTATTTTTTTTTTGCGAACTCAATATCAACACCGATTTAACTCAATAATCAACTAAAGCCAACTAATGGCACCAGTTTCAGCCTTGAAGTATTGCATTTCATATCAGCAGAATTTCATTGACCACACATTAATAAGCTATATTAATCCAACTGATAATACTAAATTGCATTCTAACCAATTTTTAGAAACGGTGGCATGAGTCGATCATCAAGCATACCAACACTAGTAGGACTACCAAATAGCAGGTAAATATCGCACTCAGAGCTCCATTTTCGTCCCATACCATAGAGTAGAATGTAGTTTGCAAACTTTTCAAAAGTTTAAAATACGTGGTAAGCTGGACGCAATTTTAACCGAAACCCAATTTTTCCCACACTGCTAGCCATCGCTCCCGGATACCGGTTAGACAGACGTCCAACGTCTCCACTTCTTCTTCAGCCACGGGGTAATGATCAGTGATGATGATCTTTGTGATGTTTTTTTCTTTTCGTTCCCTCTGTTGCAGTAGTTTGCAAAAGCTATACACATTGTGTTCTCCCTGTTTTTTTCTGTGTTTTGTTTGCTTTTGAGTGAAGTATCCACCCAAAATGTATCCGTTGTTCTTTTTTTCAAATTGTTTTTCATTTCACCATTGATAACAATGATCATAATTTCACAGTTTGAAACATAAACGTTTAGGAAAATCATTCGTTTCATTGCTAAAAATAAAGTGCACCGAAAGGACCGTTGTACTCTGTGCCGTTACATTAATTTAGTTTCAGTTATCGTGCTTTCAATGCTGCGAAAGTAATGAACCGTTACACACTAAAATTATTTTTCCGAAATCTGTGAAATTTTACCGAAAACTCAACAGCTGAACGTTCGGACGCAAGATGTTAATTTTTCTTTCAGAGAGCCATAATTTGAGAATCAATAAATATTCACTTTTCATGAAGAGTGAATATTCAAATTGCTAGTAAGTTACAAAAAGAGGTTATAATTTATGTGTTTGACACATGAAATCAGTCAATTTTGCTTTTAGAGAGTCACAATCAGCTAGTAAATTACTAGTACAAAACATCACCATAATATCAAATGATTTCACAATTATGAAAAACAAGTTTTAATAGTAACGGAACCCTGTCTAGAACTGTGTTTGAATATGAGGGACATCTTTCGATTTTCCTCAGTTTCAAAAAAATAAATAGGGTAGAGCGCTGCTTCGTCGTAATCGCCCATTTCCGTTCTATCGATCAGAAAAGATCGATAATATCAATGATTTCACAGTGCACAAATCAATAATAGGTTTGTTCCGATGCGTTAGTTCATTAGCTACAACATAAATCCTGTTAGAGCGCATTGTATGAATATTTACGCTCATTGTTCTCAAAACAAAAGAAGCGCTCCTAGCGAATACTCTTTTCCTATAGTATAGTAACGTATACGTTTTCCGTAGGACGAAGAAAATCTAATGGCGTTTCGATGCGTTAGGACGGAATTGAAACTCGTAGAACGAATTTAGAATCAAGAAGCAGTGTTAGATTTTAGACAATATCTCAACAATGTGTGACTCTTTTTCAAATCCAACGAAACGTATGGAAAGGTGAATAAATTTGCAAGTCATCTTTGACATAAATATTCCATTTTTTGTTTAAACTCGTTCAGAAAAGAGAGGTAAAGCGCGGATTGTGCTTAGTAGGACGGAAATTAGATCAAAACCCCTACTGGGAAATCGTGCAAAATTTTACTCATTCACAGAGTAACCCCACTTTTTGCAATGTTGAGTTAAATTCGATTCAATTTTGAGTTACTCTCGTTGGCCGTGTGCTTCGAGGAAAATTGAGTCAGTCTTTTAGGCTCACGGCGAATGAGAACGACTCAAATTTGATTTTAGTTCACTCATAATCGCCAAAAGTGCAGGAACTCAGCGATGAGTAAAATTTGTCTCATGGTTTCCTGTGGAAAACCTAAAAAATCTGCCGGAAAATGAGGAAATTGACGAAAATTTTATTCAATCTCCTAGTAGTACCAATAGACTGAATGAATGTAATCTTTACTTTTCTCAAATTCAGGAATTTCTCCCTGGAAAATCCTGGGAAAACATGAGGCAAATTAACTCATCGCTGAGTTCCTGCACTTTTGGCGATTATGAGGGAACTAAACTCAAATTTGAGTCGTTCTCATTCGCCGTGCTGTGAACCATTTGCCGAGTTAAATTAAACTCGTGGTTAAAAGTGACGTTTCGAAAGTTATTCTCTATGTTCGAAAATCCCTGTGCTTTCGATCGAGCGGTTTTCGAGATGGACTCACCCACGGTTGTCAAAATTTACCTTCTTGTCTGTCAGAAATAACCACGCTCGGACAGCAGGGTTAATCGATAACTTTCCATCTGTCAAATTTTAACCAAAAGTTAAAAAATCCACCAAATGGTTCAGAGCCTTAATATACTCATATTATTATTATGTTATACACCGAAAATAGTTTTCATGTAGCTTCCATTGGAATCGCACAAGTTTTTCATCCATAATCAAAATTAATGGCATTCATCTAAATTTCACATAACATTTGTGCGATCACATTAATGATATTTGATTTTTCATATGAATTTCATCGGCCTCATAATATTCATGTGATTTTGCGGGGGATTTGCTGCTATGTGATCACAGGAAAGCTATGTGAAATTCACATCAGATAAGTGATAAACTTTTTGAGTGTACTATACCCGAAAAAAAAAATAATTATAATAAAACAACGATATTACAATGATTTTAACTGTTGAATTTCGAGTACATTAAAATTTATTGTTAAATTATTGTACGGGAGAAAACATGGATTTCGATTTTTAACGATACAATGCTCAAACAACAAAAATTAGTGTGATGAGATCAAATTTGTTCGAGAAAAATCACTTTTTTATATTGTTAAGATGCTTAACAACCCCCCTTTTTTACTGTAAGTTTCTCAAATACCATGATTTTCATTGTTGTGAACCATGAATTTCGTTGTGATTTTATGGTGATGGACAAAAATGTCCAATGTTTTGACAGTAAATAACATGGATACAATGACAATGAAAATCATTGAATTTTTATTGGATTTTTTTTTACGGGTAGTCACTTTAACACTCTTGGACTAGGATTGGGCGATCTTCAGAGAAAGATCGATCTTGACGGATCGATCTTATATTTGGCTCTAGAATCGATCCACTGATTAAATCAATACCAAAGAATCGATCTTTGGTAGATCGCTTTTTTGATTTTTATTGAATAGAGCTTTTTGACGTTTAATCGGCGCACACTAATGCACCATTTAAATTGAAGGAGTCAGAGCAAGAGGGAAACAGATTAGTGGAAAAACAAACCATTCATTCATCCCTGTGTACTAGATAGAGAACGACGATTAAACGTCAAAAAGGTCTATACGCTTGTTTACGATGGTATCACAAGAAATTCTTTCCTTTACAATATTCAATTAAAAATGTTGTCGTGAGGGTAAGGAGCAATGAGAACAGGAGGGAGGCAACCTCAGGCAACACAATCCTTCTAATGTTGTTGTATTCGTAAATATCGGAAACGCAAATAATGACGTCATTGTAGGGAGTACTGCTGATTTTGACGTTATGTTCTTTAAATTTACCACGCAGTCTGGGGTGAGAGTAGATCATTTTTTTGATGTAAATACACTTAAAAAAGTTAACACCTATTTTTTGAAGATCGATAGAAGAGCTCGATTTTTTCGATCTTTTCGTGGACAAAGAATCGATTCTAAAAATTGCAAATCGAGATGAAAAAGATCGATATTCCAAAGATCGATCCAAGATAGCCCAATTCTATCTTGAACCATTCGTTGAATCCGACTCAAATTTAAGTTCCGTTCGCTAAAATTCACAAAAACGCAGGTCACTCATAGACTGAGTAAAACTTCCTCAATTTTCCACGAAAATCTGCTCGAATATTGAAGAAGAAAAAAGTAAAAGGGTTGTATCCAAGACACGACCGTAGATGACGTAGGATTGCTTGGTATCAATATTAACCACTGATCGCGCACGGGCAGAACTTCCCTACGGTGTGTGAATAGATGGCGAAAATAAAACACGGTCGTTTATCGGGCCATCCTGCCATGGCAGAGGCATGCGAACTATTGAATTTATTTACAATCTTTACAATAGAACGATAGGCATGATAACACTACGCTTGCGGCACTTGTGTGTTGATATGAGTATTTGGGTAGGGTAGTTGCACACGTTTTGTACAAACAACCACTTTTTCCCGTCACAGAAACGCCTCGTTTTCTGATGACAAAACTACGCACTTTCGTGCACAAATCCAAGATGGCGGACCAAAATCCGATATGGCGGCCTCCGGATAGCAAATATGCATCGAAACCCATGAAATATGGGTATCTATTGAATGGGCTCGATGAGTAGAAGTGGAAAATTGACATCCGCTGCCGTTTTGGAATTCAAGATGGCGGACCAAAATCCAATATGGCGGCTTCCGGACAGCGAATATGCATCTAAACCCATGCAATATGGGTATCTGCGGAATGTGCTCGATGAGTAGAAGCGGAAAATCAACATCCACCGCCATTTAAGAATTCTAGATTCGGTTTCTTACTTTGACTGTAATACCAAGGTATTGATTTTCCGTTTGGTGATTGTGTTACCACAAAACCAGCTAAGGTTAAAATCAGCCTTGATTTTCTGCTTTGTGATTTAGCTGATCTCAAGATCAACAGTGATTTTCGGCCATTCCTGATTTTGGATTTTTTTTTCCATCACTGCGTGATCACGGAACCGCTTGAGAACACCTCTCACGGTAGATACGGCAATTTTCAACTTTTTCGCGATTTTTCGAATTGACCACGTCGGGTTTTCGACGTGGATGTGCACGATAAATTTTTTTTTCTCGTCTTCCATCTAGTACATCTTTTTTAATACTGCACGTATCGAGACAAAACTTTCACCCCAGAAACACGTGTACTTTCAAAACAAATCGCTGTCAAAACATTCTAAATGGAACTGTCCTTCCGGTTTCTTATCCGTTGTGAAATAATGAACCCATTGGTAATAGAAAACTTTGAGAAGCTGCTCGACAGAAATCCTCAAACAAGATTGATGAGTCTCTATTACGAGTACATGACGAATTGGCCCTTCTTCCCACAATTACAATCGTGTTCGCTCTCAAGACTTTTATAGTTCATCTGTAAATTTTGATCTGATCATGTTGCAAGCAATCTGTGGAATACCAGATCACTATCGGTCGAT